ATAGAAGGAACAAAATCCTGTGGCCAATCGATGTTACGCTTATTGCGTTGAGGCTTGGTGATCTCCGCAGCATCTTGAAAAGAAGCGTGTTATCGGGAGGGCGTTCCTGGCGGCTTATAGTCATTACTTTCAATTCCAATTCAAGCTTATCCTCCTTGAGTTTGAGAAGCTGAAGCTGCTGATCAAAAGAGGGAGCAGACGAGGCAGTATCGTTGATAGTGATGGGCGATGAGGAAGCTGAAAGTGTTGCAGCAGACTTGGGTTTAGATGACTGAGTTGACTGTTTGGTAGACTGATCGTACGTCGCAGGATTACTTGGCTCCTTGAGATTGAGATCGTTGTGAAGGAATGCACTCGAAGGCAATTCACACTGAAAGTCTGGATCTAACATCTTCTTAGACTTGCGTTTGGGACGTGCGCCTGCAGGGAGCGACATCGCAACAAAAAGAGCGTGGAGAAAAAGAAAACGTGAATGATTAAGAGCTTACGCCTCCTCTCTCCGGATCTCACAAAAGATGAGATGCCAGACCACGCGGTCGATTATAAGGGACATTCGATATCTCTTTTACTAGTTAATTAACCATCATTAATAAATGATTTCTCCACCTTATTACCGGCTAGTTTCTCCAAAACGTAAGCATTTACCATTGAAAAATTAAAGAAAAACCAAAGTAAGTATTTCCACCACTTTCGAGAAACTGAGCCAGGAGGATAATAGCTGCGACATTGGTTGTTGACATTTACTCCATTCATACCGTGGTTGTAAATAGGCACCACTTCGGGTGTCCTCATTGCCTCGGCGGGGACCACTCACTTTCTTCTTCCCCATGCAACCTGCTGAACAGTGTGAATTTCAGTTTCTGGAGGAGTATTTATCGATAATAGAGAAACAACACGTTTGTCTTTCCACATCGTCGCCAGTAAATTTCTACTCTGATGTGTTCTTATCTCTCCAACAACAAGTTTTTGTCACTTGAGGTCTGCAGGAAAGTCTCTCCTGTTTGTGCGTACAGTGCCGCACGCCTACGTGTCTCTTGACTCTAAATCTCGCATCAGTTGCGCTGAAGTAAAGAAATTGTCAAAGAAAAAATGACAGTGATTGTTTAAATAGGGTTCTCTGAGTGTCCAAACGCCATGATACCCCAAACCTTTGCGCTAAAACAATTCACTGTTTGTGCGATTTTTTCCCAAGTAGACTTGGAACCGTGGAACATGGTAGTTGTATGCATCGGCAAGCATCCAAACTTTGATGCCAAATTTATCCGGCTTCATTGGCATGTACTGTTTAAAAGACAGCCTCCCGTTGAATTTTACTAAACCTTCATCCACCGAAACGTTTATTTCAGGTATCTAAGCATCAGCAAACCTCTGTTCTAAAAGCGTTACCAGAGATCGAACTTTGCAGAGGAGGTGAGCTGGATCTTCATTGCTCGGGTGGACCAAATGTAAATAACTCCCCAGAGTTTTGAAGCGCTGCTTGAACCCCTCCATGCCAACAAAAATAATCGGAATCCCAAAAAAATTTCTATATGAGGAAGACTATAGATTCCCATATTTTTCAGCCTTTTTGCTACAGATGGCTTGAAATACTTTGAATGATCGTCTTCCTTCCTCAATCAGAACGCTGCGAAGCTTAAGAGCAGCTTTGATGCTGTCGCTGACGTCTTCTGTATGCCACTCAGAGAACCATTCTCCTTATCCATACTCAAGCTTTTCATTTTTCGTTGAAGTCCTGAATTTTTTCAGGCTTCTTTACCGAATTGCATAAATTGCGTTCACTACGACGATCATTTCATTTTCATTTCATTTCCGCAGTTCATATATAATTTTTCATATATCATGAACACTCATTTCTTTCACGGGAACCTATGAACCCACAATTGACATGCTCCCAATGTCAGTGGCTTCATAGCTCAGTTGGTAGAGTATCACACCGGTATTGTGAGGTCACGGGTTCAAACCCCGTTGAAGTCCTGAATTTTTTTTTTGAGGCTTCTTTATGCTATTGCATAAATTGCGTTCACTGCGATGATCATTTCTTTATTTTCAAAGAAATGTTTGATAAGCAATGAAGAAATGCATGCAAAGTTTGCAAATTCCCCACACCCCACAGACTAACAAGGTAAGCAAATGCGCAGCATTAGCCCGGGGGGCCAGGGCAAGCTGGAATTGACTGATATGCATAACGTTTTCACTGAAAGCCCATTATTACCCTGCATACCACTGCACATATGGAATTCTATTCGTGTAAAAGTCTTATATAGTCAATTCTATAATTAGTTGTGCAGCTTAAGTTCATCTATAAAGAAAAACCGATACACTCAAATAATTTTGCAGAATTCTCATTTGGTTTCAAAACAACAGGCTTAACTTACAAGCTAATTGTGGATAGTTGTGTGTTCTTTTCGTACAATAAAAAGATAAGCGATGGACGGGTAAAAATCAATTAACCCAGGAAAACTGAGTAACTTTGATAGATGTGGAAAATACAGTGTTCTGTCTGGCAGCTCTACAGATGACTGCTGATTGTCTTTCACACAGCTGAAGCTCATATTAGGTCATTTTAGACAGCGTTATTGCTCACTTTAGACCATTTTACATTGTTGTATTGGTATGATCATGAGACTACGATCAATTTGCGAACAGTAGTAGTGCAGTTTTTAACCACAAAATAGATTTTTCACCGTTTGGCATAAATACATAAAGAAACAAAAATAAAAAGGCTTGCTACGAATTAAGGCTATATATTTACGTGCCAAAACAGGAAATGTAATGACTCAAATCTCTCTTTCGATGTAAACCTCAAATCTCTTTTGATACTTGCGTAAAATCAAATAGCAGGGTCACGTGGTGCAGCACACATGTAGTAAAAATAGGCCAAAGAGGGTGAGGGCGGGGGGGCGGGCCCAAGGTTGAGACTCATCGCAGGTTCACGAAGAACAATTTTGCGTTTCATTTATAATAACGAAACAGTTGTTTACGTTTCAAAAGGTTGAGTTTGATTGTCCAGGTGAACGTAGTCCTGAATAGGACTGTTGTTGTTGACAGTGAGTGACGTTTTGACAACCTGTGCGGTAGTCATCTTCAGAGTCAAAGTGAGTTGTGTCACGTCAGTTGATGGTATTATACTCTGGTTATTGATCTGATTGGTCAATTATGTCGCGATGTTATTGGTCGTCTGTTAGTTAAGCCGTGATGTTATTGGCCATGAAGACTCAGTGATTGGTGCGTTTCGATCCATCTGTTGTCACAGTTAAACAGTCGTTTATTGTTAGTCAAATTGTCAGTTCTCCAGTTGTTCTCCCGTAGTTAGTTTTGCTTGATCTCGTCAATAAGTCGTTTGTACGGCGCTGGTAACTGTTGGCTACGATTCAGTGGCATTTGTTCTAAGTTAGTAAACAAGTTTTCTAAAGGAAGACATTGATAGTAGTCTGTAGAATACGTTATACATGTCGCAGAGTCCTAGTCAATTTGATGTTTTGTCTTTAAATGGTACTCAGCAATGTGATTGTTGACGTCACCATTCCTCGTCGCGGGTTTGTGTTTGGTCAGTCGTGTGCTTAGGTTTCTGCCGGTTTCACCAATGTAAGAAGCCTGGCAGTCGCAGCATTTGATCTTGTATACTGCTCCCTGTCTGTCCTCCGGTTTGTCTTTGTCCTTGACATTAGTAAGCAGTAGCCGTAAAGTGGTTATCGGTTTGTGTACAACACGTATATTGTAAGGTTGTAATATAACAACTATGACTCCTGGGTTCAAACTTTTCACAATTATTTACGTTTTCAGACTTCTCAAAAATAGAGGTCGTACAAAATGTCAAAAACGTTACGTTAGTCCCATTTTCTATTTTAGGAAGTTAATTAGAGTTTTTCAAACCTCATGAAAAACACTGGGAGGGCCTTCTTGGGTTTCAAGTGACATCACAAAAATCCAAACTCCAAAATTGCAAGGACTTTTAAGGTTTTATCTCCATTTAGCCAAATATCTCTTAAAAATTAACTTCTGTGAAAGTTTTCAACGTGATAGCATTTTCCATTTTGAAAATATAGCTCTTTCTAGTTTCCCAAGTCTACTCTGCGTGACATTAATATGGCGACCAAGAAGGCTGTCACATACGGTATTCTAAAAAATAAGTTTATTGCATGATATTATGCCCTTTAATGGTGAAAGTATTAGAAAATGTGTTTAGGAGAATAGTTTGCTCGTTCGCAGTGAACAAGTGATCTAATTGTGGTGATACTGAAACCAGATGTTTGCATTATTTCAGGCGTCCCCATCGTGAGCCCTATATAAATGCCTGGTACACATTTTGAAGAACAGCTCAGCAGTAGAAAACTGCACAGGCGTGAGACTTGGCCAGGTTGTTAATTTCATGATATTCTATAATGTCTGAAATTCTTGTCTTCATACATTCCACGGGTTTGATTTTAGTTTTCGATGGCGTGACGGGAAAACCGGCAAATGGGTATGGACTTAAGTGTGAAGAGACACCGAAAGACTCGCAAAGTCAAGTCAAGCCACATGCTACTCAGGGGGGGCCAAGTGAACGATTTATTTTCTTCGACTGACTTCAATGTACGTGTATACAAAGGAGGATTTTGGCCGTTCAGGTTTTACGGAATGCACTTCACTCACGATTCACAGAACAGTTTTTCAGCACATTACGATTCACCAACACCAAATATGGTCGATGGCGGCGTCATGAAAATAAGCTTGCCCAGTCCCCATCTTATCCGTAAAATGAGCTTTTAACCCTAATCAATGAAATTTGAGTCCTTAATTCTGCAAAAATTCAAGCATCAAAACCTAACATAACCAAGAGAACTAACCAGGAAACATTGAGTGAAGAGGTTTGAAATTTCATAAAAACTTATTCCCATGCCAGCGAATTTTATGACTAGCTGGCTCACAGATTGTCCGCCATCTGCCCATGTGGGTTTTGTTTTACATATGTGGTCTCCAGTCGTTTTGGCCACAAAACATTGGGCTAATACAGCACATACCTTAACTGGCTTGAGTTCTCCTGCATTAGGTTGGAGAAGATATTGGTCACAGACATCCTTGAAATAAGCGGGGAGGTACTGGTCGCGGCTTGGTGCCGTCCAGATCCCTTTGCCAGGTATTTTTCTCAAAATTTCTTGCTGGGGAGACATCTCCGACGATGTAAAAGAATGGGTAGAGCTGAAGAATGACATTGAAGATACTATATGTGTTATGACTTATGTGAATGGAATAAAGCTGAATAAAGTACACAAGCGCAACGTTAAAACGAACCACAAATTACTAAGTGCATTCAGAGTTGACATACCTTTCTGAATTTGCTTGAACACCATCAAGGCATTGACAGTGCGCTGGAATTTTGTCAACGAGGTACCCTTCGACAGCACTGCCGTTGGAAACAAAGCCTTTACAAGCTATATGAAAGTTGGTCATCGGCTGAAAGATTCTGTTCTTGTAAATACCGATCGCCCATCTTTCTCCACTAATCCCAAGTCTGGATCTGGTTCTTTTCTCCCTTGTGAAGAGCCTTGACTGGCACTGTTCTCGGCTATTTCCAGAGAAAAAAAAAGTCAGGCTACTGGTGGCGGTGTGGCTTACAGAACACTGACAGAAAGCCTCGAGTTTATTCTCACGTGCGGCGGGATGCTTACCGAAAAGAAACATTTCAGTAGTTGTGAGATATATAACATGTAAAAACAAAAACAAAGCCGGGAAAAGTATCATATTGTCCTACTCCCAAAATCTAGCCCACATGGACACACGTGACTACTTCATTAGCTGAGCAAGCTCTCCTGGATGCTCCCCAGTGAGCTTGATGGCAGGCTAAGACTTCATTCTTTACAAGAAAATGCGGTAAAATAGCTTTGTGCAAACTATGTTTAGACGGTAGAATCGTTCAGAAGTAATACTTGTCTGGTCATTACAAAACCCAGAGATTGCATAACCAATTCACTAACCGGAAATGACACATTTGCAAGAGGAAACTATTCATTAAGACCGCACCAACAATCCAAAGACAATTTTTGTTTGTAAACTGTTGTCAGCAACAGAATTGTAGCAGCAATTTTTAATCTGGTTTGCAAGACTTTCCGCAAAATTTAACTCCTTGAAAACTTAGGCAGGAGTGTAGTAGTCTGCAGACGTGTCCGCGGAGCTGCCCTGGCGTGGACAAAAAACAGTCGACAATGGGAAAGTGTGTTGGAAGTAGTAAATGTGACTTCCAGTGCCTAATTTGCCCATAGTTTTAAATGATAAAACATATATTGGACTAGAGTGTAAAACATTGACTGGATAAATAAAACATGGATTGATAAAACATGAATTTTAAAATAAAACATGAATTGATCAAATATGGACAAGAGATCATAATAGAACTATTATGGCTCTTGATATGGATTAATAAAACATGAATTGACAAAACATGGAATAATAATAAAAAAACAGTCATATACCTGCCAACCAAATGAGTGAGATTTTCGTCTTGCATGACCGGGATTTTCGAAAACTTGCGACCATTTTTCGAAGACTTCCGAAGATAACCGAAAATGTCCGAAGATGTTCCTACGGCTTTTTCAAATGCACTTCCAAAGCTATTCAAAAGATGACAATTTAAGCATGTTTTGATTAGGACACAAAATCATCATTGACGAGTTTTCTTCGCCATTGTCCGCCATTTTGTATGTTTTGAAAACCATCATCGCCATTAAATGAGGTCGAAAATAGTGCTGCACGCAGTTACTATTTATAGACCCATAACTCAGACAAACAAACTGAAATTTGACTTTTGTCATAAAATGCAATGTAAAATGAGAAAGATGACAAAACTCAGACAAAAATTGCAAATTAGTCATTTAGACGTTATTCGTGCACTACGCTACTTGTCCAATCACGCGACCTTGTTTGGCTCGTCACGCAATGCTCCTCCTCAGGAAAGTCTGTAGAAGAGTTGTTGGATGCGTCACGATGGATGCATCATCCTACTGCTTCCTTCTGTTGGTTCTGTGATTCTCAGAAGAGGAGCAAAAGCTAGTTGATAAGCTCTTAGAAGAGTACTCTACCCATTCAGGTTATTATCATTATGATTCTGTCATCAGCACTGGCCTAGAAAATTCGCGGCTTATTCCAAAAGTCTTCATTTGGTGCCCTATGCACCATAACAGTATCAAGGTGGTTTGTCCCGTTGATCGTTGTGTATTGACATTTAACAGATGGACGTTGTGTGTGGTAAAAAACAATAAGTTTAATCCGTGTCTTGTATATGATTTGGAGGGGAACATTATTTTAATACAAGCTTCTTATGTTTGCCCTCGTGGCGACCAGTTCTTTTTTGCCTCTAAAGACATTTTGGACGTGTTGCCAGGTCAAATAAAGGATTCCTTTCGTTTCAGAATGTCGCACAGATCTGCTTGCTCAAATCGCCTACTCGATTTTGTAGTAACCTTGCTGACTATGGGGCACAGCTTCCTCGATATAACGGAATCCATCCTTGCCATGAAATACTGTGCATTTTATTGCATAAATGGGAATATCCCGTCAGCCTCTTTTTATGATAGTCCATTGTATTCAAGTCTGGGAAGTGACAAACTGATGCAGATATTTCTGTCTTATTACGAACAGATTAAAGCATCGATTACCAATTTCTTTTTGGCTACACGCTGTCGCATCTTATCTTGTGATCACACCTTCAAAGTTAGCGAGCACATTGGGATTATTCAAGATTCTGATTCTGCGTTTGTCAACCAGTTTCAAAATCTGTACGTTGCACTGAATCAAAATGGTGAAGTTCTAACCTGGAAACTAACAACTTCAACGGAATTAAAGCAAATTAATCACATAATTCTCGATTTCAAGGAGAGGTTTTCTATTTCAGGTGATAAATTGGATATGATTCTAGTGGATGATTGCTGCCGTGTAAGAAATTTCTGCCAATGTTACTTTCCACTTGTGCAAGTCAAGTTGGATATGTTTCATGCTGTTCAGAGAATCGTCAAAACTCTGCCCAAAGGAACAGTTGAAAGCGAAAAGTTTGCTAAAGAGGTGGGACTTCTGTTCCACAGAGGTGGCGACATTGGGGAGGAGAAAATGTTCGCTACTCCTGATCCTAATTGCACTGAAAGCAACATGGTGTAACTACTTTTCAAATGGAGGGGCAAACTGTCTGTAGCTACTGTCAATGCGATTGAAAATTTGAGACATCATGTGCGAAAAGGTTGCATATCAGAGATACCTCCTTCTGCAGGAACCACTTTAAATGAACGCCTTCAAAGGCATCTTAAACGATCAATGTTATGTGGTGCATCCGCCATTTCCCCTGACCTGGCCTTGCCCATCCTAGCTCTAGTGCTTTATGTCTGGAGCTGTAGGCGCAGAGGATTGCAGAAACATGTTAACTATCAAAGAATTGTTCCAATTATTCCATTTGAATTTGGAGATCTCATTGAAAGAAGTTCCACGGACTCCTTGCTATTAAAATGCTCTGACAAAGGGTAGGATGAAAGAAGTGTAGCTAAAGAGGAAGAGGGCAGTGACAAAATATCATCATGGTATTTACACCATCATGTTGAAAATGTGAAACATTTGATGAACGTCAGTGTGGTAAATTATGCCTTAACTCGTGTTCTTCAAATGAGGGATTGTTGGACTTTTCTAAAAGAACAGACATCGTTCACCTTTCTTTCAATGCTTGACTTGTTTGGACTTGAAAGAAGCTTCATGAATCTTTCAAAACAGCATACTGTAGAAGAGGAAACTACCGCTGGCTGTAACCGTGAAACGCTCGAACGTAATTTGTCTTCCTTTGGACTCTGCAAGATACCTGTAGCTGGGGATGGAAACTGCTGTTTTCGTAGTATACTTAAATGTCTTCATCATAGGTTTCTTAGAAACTCAGAATATATTCATAATGACGACATATCTAGGTACATTGGGTTTATCAAAAGTCTTGGCCTTGGAATTAATGAAGATAAAGACACCTTGCATTTAAGGCTCCTCATGTGTCAAGAGATTTCAAGTAAATCTGAAGAATATCAACAGCGGTTGGGTCTAACTGCAGAGCAGCTTTCTAATGATCTAATTTTATTTAGGCAACAGGATGGTTTAACAGTGATGCTGGTGATATTGCAGTCAACGTATGCAGCAACATTTTGCAGATACCCATCGTTGTTATAACCTCGTATCCACAAGCCCTTTAAGATAAACATACAGTAAAATGGCTGACTTTGTTACAAAGATGCTTTATTGCTCGTCACGTGATACACAAATAAGGACGCGCTAGGGTGGTCTACGTATTTGTCACGTCCTTTCCCTTTTAAAAAAAAAGATATTAATAATGATAATGTCTGAGTCCTTGGATTTCAAATGAAAACAAAAGCTAAATAAAAAAAGTTCTTAGTCTCTGATTGTGCCTAGAGGTCCAACCGTTTTGGGTTGAGTACTTGTCTGCCACTTCGGGTAACATAAGCCTCTGAACTGTCCCCCTCGGGTGGTTCAGAGTTGTGGTGTTGCCACGGAGGTGGAATTACAGGTGACACTGGTGGGGCTGGCTGCTCAGTCTGGTCCTTGGGCAAGTTGTGGTGTGCACTACCGTCAAGAGACCGCTCTGCATTTAAACTTCTAGGTCCTGGGGCTGGGCAAACTCGCAGATGCTGCCTGTTGCGGTGATAGTTTCTGCCATCATCTGCTTGAAAAACATAGGACCTTGGTGCATGGTGATGTCTGACTACTGTCGCTGGCTTCCACTCTCTGGAGTCGGTCCAGGGCTGCATTCGCACTTTCATTCCTGGCTGTAGTTCCTTCAATTTGCTGCTAGCATGTCGGTCATGGTGCTTCTTCTGATCATCTTTAATCTTCTTCAGGTACTTGGAGACATCGTTTTGGTTGACACTAGCAGGTTGAAGCAAGCTGTCCATCATCGGTAATCTGTTTTTCAGGCAACGTCCCATCAGCAACTGTGCTGGTGACAATTCGATGCCTGGTATTAGCGTTGTCCGATAGTCGAGTAAGGCCCGATATTTGTCACTACTCTTTGGCCACAGGTTTTTTAGGGTCTGAACGGCTCTCTCCGCCTCTCCGTTAGCCTTTGGATAGTGTGGAGAACTGGTGACATGCTTGAAACCGTACTCTTTCGCAAATTCTTGGAATTCACTGCTGCTGAATTGGGGGCCGTTATCTGAGACCACTTCTGCTGGGATCCCATGGGCTCCAAATTGCGTCTTCAGCTCTTCTACTACAACACTGCTTCTCAAGGACTTCATCTTGGTAACTTCTGGGAACTTGCTGCGATAGCACACAGAGAGTAAATAGTGTCCCCCTTGAAATTCAAACAGATCAGTTCCTATCTTCTGCCAAGGGAGTGATGGTGGTACAGTAGGTTTCAGTGGCTCTGAAGGCTGTTTCTTGGCAAAACGCTGCACACACACTACAATTGGTGACCATTTGCTCCACATCCAGGGACATTCCAGGCCAAAATAGTACCTCTTTGGCTCTTTGTCTGCAATTGGCTATTCCTAGGTGACTCTTGTGGATCTGGCGAAGCATTTCAGGTCTCATAACCTTTGGGCCAATCAAGCGTGTCCCTCTGAAGAGAAGTCCATCGGCTGTTGCGACCTCGTCACGGAATGTCCAGTAGGGTCTGGCCTCCAAAGGAACTTGCTACTTTGTGTCTGGCCATCCATTTCTCACCATGGTTAGGACTGCTTGTAGCTCTGGGTCTACTTTGGTCTCTTTCTGGAACTCTCCATACCGCTCCTCTGATACGGACAGGACCATGTTGATTTCCTGGAATTCTTCTTCTTGACTCCGGTAAGTGCTCAAGAGGCGTAACACACGGGTTTGTCGTCCAGTAATAGCACTGCTCCCAGGCCTTTCCTGCTTGCATCGCACTTGATCTTTGCTGGTTTCGAGACAATATTGCAACACTGGTGCTTCGGATACAAGCTTCTTGATCTTCTCAAAGCTCTCTTTCTGTGAGGGGTCGCAGTGAAACAACTTGTCTGCTTTCTCCAACTCTCTCAGCGGAGCATCCGCAGTGGACAAACCGGGCAGGTACCGACTCAGGAATTGTACAAATCCAAGAAGGCATTTCTTGAACTGCCTTTACCTTTTGGGGATCAATCTGTAAGCCTTCTGAAGATAGCAAATGTCCTACATGGGGGACTTGTGTCTGACGAATCTTGCATTTCTCTTTGTTAAGCTTTAAACCTTGCTTTGGTGCTCTATCTAGGAATTTCTGCAACCGTTCGTCATGTGTTGTCTCATCGCCCGCCACAACTACATCATCCATTATGACCTCCACACCCTCCAAATCTTCAACCATTCGATCCATGGTCCTTTGGAATATTTCAGGGGCGCATTTCACTCTGAAGGGTAGCCTTGTAAATCTGTACCGGCCAATGGGAGTGTTGAATGCACACAGACGTGAAGACTCGTCATCTAACTTTAGCTGCCAGAAACCACTTGTGGCATCTAGGATGCTGAAAAGTTTGGCACCTTGAAGACGACTGGCCATTTCATCAATAGTCTTCATGGGGTAATGGGGTCTCTTTATGGCAAGATTTAGATCCCTTGGATCAATACACAGTTTCACTGCACCAGTAGGCGTCTGTACTACAACAAGTGAGTTGACCCATTCAGTTGGTTCCTCCTGGCGCACTATTACTCCTACCTTTTCTATCCTTTTTAGTTCCTCGACAACTTTTGCTCTCTGTGGCACGGGTACCTCTCTTGGAACATGGACTACAGGCACAGCTCCTTCTTCTAGCTCTATGTGATACTTATCGGGCAAACATCCTAATCCAGTGAACAATTCTAGATAGTCCTCGAGCTCCAATCGCTTGGATGGTAGCTCTTGACCTGTCAACTGATAAACTCTTTTCAGCAGACCAAGCTTAAGACACTAGTTTCCACTAAGCACAGATTCCACTTCAGTATCCACAACAAAGAATTTGACGTTTTCCACTTGATCTTTGTATCTAGTGGCCAATGCTACTTCTCCTCTAGGTTTCAGCTTGTGCTGAAAACGAAACCAGTACAGTTGTGGTCTTTCTCAGGGGCGGTAAGGGTCTACACTTAAGGCTGCTGTAGGTCTTGAGGGAAATAACACTTGCTTTTGCACCGCTATCGAGTTGGAACTTCACTTGAGTGCCCTCTAACTCGACAGTTTCATGAAATTTTTCATCCTCAGTTAGACTGTTTGATTCAACCGCGTACACAAAGAGGGATGACTCATCTCCACAGTCTCCTGAATCGTCTGAACTATTTTGTGAATCATCTTCCTGTAGGTGATGCACTTGTCTTGATCTACAGAGCTTAGAATAATGATTCATCTTTTTGCAGAAACTGCATTATTGGCCCATTGCTGGGCATTTTCTGTGGGTTTTATCGTACCCACACTCACCTTTTGTGCGATCCGTTTTTCTTTCTCTTCCGAAGCTTGCTTTTCGGCATCTTGCTTTGAACGCTTGCGACAACTCTGAGCTTGGCATTTTTCTACAATATTCACAGTCGGGTCTTCGTCTTTGGCGAGCTTCTTTAGGCTGTCTAGATTCGTTTCATGGGTGCGA